ACTCCATAAAAAGTAAAGGATCTTCATATCAGGAGTTTGTTTTCCTTGCATAGATTTTTTTGTTAGGTTTGATAAGTAATTGGGGAATCCTAATGGATTCTGCATAATAGAGATAATGTAAGTTGTTTGTAGAGTCTTTTTCTGAAAGAGAGAGTCGGTACTTTCATTCTGAAAGTAAATAAGCTTGATGATGATGATCTTGGGTTGTTCCAACATTTCAAGAATAAAGGATCATGCCTGAGCTCTTTTGTGCTGTCCATTTTTTTTCTTCTGCTCCTAGAGACTCAAGTGTCCGTAAGTCTTGCTGGCAACCTTACAAGATTTAATAGGCTAGAAAGAGGTTGCAGTGACATTGGCCAAGAATTACCATGCTACAAATTTATGAAAGATGTTACTTTCTATGGTTGGTTACTATAGACTTCAGTTTTGCAATAAATCTTCATTTTCGAGATTTTATCTGAATTAATAGCTTGATACATTCCATGGTGTAAATATGCCCCCTTTTGACTTGGTAGCACAGAATCTAGTAGCTTGGTAGGATCAAACACCGTGGCCATTTTGCAGGCATGTTTGTAGATTGAACAGGTTCACTTTCTTTTCTTCAACATGTTGAGCACATAATGTGGCCCCATGATATCCAATTTGAGTTGATTACAGACTCTTTGAGGGATGCATGTTTAGAAGGGGAGAGAGTTGACCCTTCAGGAATTTCGACAATGTGGCGTTAATAGTTATTGGACCCAAATGCAGAGGAAACTGAGAATTATTTTGGCTTTTAAAACAAAATGACATTTTTTTCAGGGTACTGCTATAAATTCCCCATATCTGGAGCATCTATTTTTAATGCGAGTGGAAGAACAAAAGGTAGTTGTTGATTGTTTGTGGAACAGAAATTGTAGGTTTAGTTCCATGAAAGGTATATATGTTAGAACAGGAATCATTCCGTGAAAAGGCTTTGTGCTTCATTGATCCCTGGTCTGTACTGAGGCGCAGTATGATGGCTATTTCAGACATAGATGTTTTTAGTGTTCTATTCCTTGTCCTCTCCTCAATTTTCTTTGTTTTTTTTCCTTTTCCTTGCAGTAGGACTTTTCTTTCGCAAATTTAAGAATGATACAGAACTGATTATAATTATCAACCATATGTCCTAGCTCAGTTACTTCTAACATCATCAGTTATTTTGGTTTTCATGTAGTGATGTCGACACTATTGGCAAACCTGTGGTATTGGATACATCATACTTTGTCAGTTTGCATGTAGGTCTTCAAATTGTTTATTAGTTTCAATTTCATCAGTTTGGCAGTAGATTTGTTGGAGTTTTGAGAGGACTGAAACATCCTCTTGTGCAGGAATTGAAGTACAACAAACCTTCTAAATTTGGCTCTATAGGTAATTGGCTTCAATGTAGAAAGGTCATAGATGATGCAGCAGAAGGTGGCAATGTAACTATATGTGGAAAATGGCGCAGGTAAACCAAATAATGATCTTGTCTGCTGGGTGATTCTGCTTGTGTGTTATTTTAATTAACCTGCTTTTAGTTGTACAGAATCAAACTCAAACGCTTTAGTTATTGTTTAGAGAGTCCTATGCACAGTAAAAATCTCTACTAGGGTTTTTATACAGCTCTCAACACTTGGCCCATCCATGAACTATCTTGAGTAGAGGTAGGTCTTTAGCCTAGCAATGCTTTACGAGGAAATCTTTCCCTCAAAGTTTCTGTAATAATTGTGTTGAAAAACACAACAAATGTTATGGAGAATTTAACCATCAAACTTGAATTCACATTGTAAGTTTTTAGCGGTTCATTTCTTGTGTAACAACATTCACCAAGTGGATGTATTATGAAATGTGAGCAAACATTAATGTGCCACTCATTTTAAACCAGGTTGTAAAGTCAACCATGAATGTTTAATCTCCTTATTTCATATTGTCAACTAAATCCTTCAGTGCTGAACTTGCTTTATTTTGGCGTTACCGTGTCTAACTTAGTCTTGCAATTTCAGGAATGAAATGCCAGTTTAATTTTAATTTTCTCATCTTAATCGCTATTGACAAGCATGAAGCTTGGCAAGTCCTTTGTTATCATTGATGCATCTTGGTCAACGATTGAATCATCTGCCATTTCTTGTGCGGTTGGTTCAAAATGCCATTCCCCTTGGTGGGAGATTAAAGTGGAATCAATCAATCAATTATATATATATATATCATGGCATTGGCTGCAGTTTTGTAAGAAACCCAAAATAAATTAGTTTGCTAACTCTTTCCCATTGGCATTCCCACCAAGTCATAATTGACGAAGGGAGATTCTTTCTAAGATCATGCAACAAGGCTAGCAGTTTTTTGTGATTTGATGCCTACTGGATTAGACTGCAGAAAGGTTGCTACTTCTAGGGATCTCTTTTTTCTCAGCCCATGTGTCTATAAAAAGTTGAACCTTTTGTTTTGATTCCGAGTGCAAGGGGATGTATACATTTTCATTGGGCCGGGAAACACTTACAATTACTTTAAATTTTAGTCTGGAATAAATTCTCAAATGTTTTGGTCCTGAAAATAAAATTTCGAAGGCATTAGTCTTGTTTTACTACTTTGTTTGCATAGATGGTGTTTTTACTTTTTATATTATCAGTAATATTTTGTGCCATTATATTAGTACAGGTGCATGGTGGGTCTGGCACCTTGAGAGTCCCTTAGATCCATGGGTCTGACTTCTGAGGGTTTATCTACCCCCTACATTGCATTTGGCCTTCACAAGGAAAGTTACGTACTGTGTGTCACATCATGCATGATCCAAAAGTGGAATTCCTGATGGTGTTTTTACTTGTATCATGTCATGTAAGACTGCTCATTTCTCTGAGCATTATGGTTGTTGTTTGCCTTGATTTAAGTATTGGCTGTGGTCCTTTCCTAATTTGCAATAACTTATATTGTGAAATGTAATGTTTGGTGCTCTAAACTGGCAGAGGCATCTTCTCTTTCCCCTGCTTGTCTTTGTTTCAATTTTTTTGCATGCCTATGCAGATGTGAATTCCCGTCCCTTTCCATCTTTGCACTTAGGAATTGATCTGATATACATCTCTTTCTAGTTAAGCTTGAGAAGATTAAGTACTAGAATGCTGTTGATGTATCAGGGCTCCTCTTTTTGAAGTCCAAACTGATGACTGGGAATGCTTCTGCTGTGTTTTTTGGGATCCATTTCATGCTGACTGTGCTACACCTCAGGTGAATTGGGCTTTTATATGTTGTCTTCGGAATTAATGGACTTTCTATGTAGCAAACAAATACTTTCGGGTTTCTATTATCTTCTTCACTGTCATTATAAGTACAAGTTTGTGGAGATTATTGAATATTCTCAAGCTATACTTAAAATATAATTCATGTTTTATCCTAATCAAATCTTGTTCCATGCATCTGCCTCAGGAGCTGGAAACTGATGAAGTTATGAAGCAACTAAAGTATATTCAGATGGTACGTTTTGAACATATATTTCTTGGTTTAGAGTTTTAGCACCTACATCATGGTCTGTGTTATTTAACCTTTCTTGCTCTAGTTACTTTTTCCAAGAATGCATGCTTAGGCAGTGGTCAAGGGCTGTTTCTACAATAAATTACTCAGCTGTGAAATAATTCAGTTTCAGAGTAGAAGCATGGTTAGAGTTGGTAGAGAGAACTTTGAATCTTATCATTGAGCATGGTTTTGGTGGTAGGTTAATAAATGTGGAATAAAACTGACTGTATTTTGTAAAACTTATCAACATAATTCATATAACTGTACACTTTGCTTTTGGTCAATGACATGAAAATATTTATTTTCTTCTCTTTATTTGTTAACATGTCAATTGTTGTGCAGCTGAGACCCCAGATAGCTGCTAAACGGCGGAAATTAAAACATGCCAACAATGGTGATCCAACGGATGATTGCAAGGAGTGATGGATACAGAATTTCAAAAATGAGCAGTAACTGCTCAATGATTTCGATGAAGTATTGTCCATACAGCTTGCTTTATACATTCATTCTCACAGAAATCCATAGAGCTGAATTTTGGAGTTAGGTATTGCATCATGGTTAAAAAAAAAAAAAAGTTACTGTAGACAGTAAATGATCAATGGTATATGTGGGCCTGTGGTTTAGACAGTAAATGATCAATGGTATATGTGAGCCTTCTTGAATGTGCTTTGATTTTCTTGAGTACTGCTGCTGCTAATGACGTGCACAGGGGCAATGTTTGATGAAGGTAAATATGAAAGCAAGCTAAAAGGTTAATCCAGGTCCATATATGTTGTTCCATATTTCACTAGATTGGTTTTAATGATGAATTCAACAAGTAAATATTCCTTTCTCAGAAGACAGATGCAGCAATGTGGCACGCAATTACTTGCCTCCAACTACCCAGACTAGGTTTTTTTTCCCCTTCCTTTCTAATGGTTGTCTTTACCAGTGCATACTGATTAAGGAATGAAAATCTGAAGTTTCTGTGAGATAGCATATGAACAGCAGAGAATAATTCCAATTCCTAATGCATGTGGTTAAGAAGACTGGTAGAGTGGCATTGCTGTTTAACATTTTGATAGCTGAGGAGAATGGGAAACATGATGTACATCTTGCATTTATTTTTACTCTAGTAATTAAGGTAGTTTTTGGAATAGCATCCTTGAACTTTGATAGCAACTTCAATCACACGTGTAACCCCACTTTTTTTCAATTCAACTTTTCTTATTCAAGTATTTTAAAAGCAGGAGGAAAAAACATGATGGGATTGCTCGTGGGATGAAGTGGATTCAGAGGTAAATAGAGAGAAATTACTGATGTTGGACTATCTTCATGAGCATATATTCTCAAGTTGCTCGTCAGTAGGGATGATGGCAATGTCACAGGATAGGTCAATGTATTCAGGGGAATAGCTTTTGGGCATGGATAGGTCAATCTGTGAGATAGCTTTTGAGCCTATAGCTTGAACTCCAAGGAACACATCCAAATTGCACCCAGAGGAATCATAGTTGCAATGGAGCAAGGAGGAGAAATTTTGTATTTGTTTTCTTTCTAAGAAAACAAGGTACTTGTGTAAGGAGAGTCCGATGATTGGCATTACACTGATTAGAAACATGAGACGTACAATGCCAGCTCTGCCTGCAAAAGTGTGAACGAAATGCATCGCAAATAATAATATAGGTTTCTCAGTGTCATTTCTTTTCTCTTAGCTCAGCAATAGGAACGTAGACAACAGACTCGTCTAGCGGACGGATTTTGGATGACTTCCTAGCTTTGCCAGCTTGTAGATTCACCAGTTTCTGCTTCAGATTCTCTACTCTAGTCTTTGCTCTACAGAGTTTCTCCATATCAGATTCAGCAGCTGCTGAAATAGGATTAACCTTTTTCTTTACTCCCTTTGGTTTCGCTTTTAACAGCTTCTTCAAGCTCAGATCATCATTGTGCTCAACATTCATCTGACAGTGATAAAAGCTTACACGCGTGAGGACACAATGAAATAATATTTCCATGTCTAAATATAGGGAATGGCATCAATCCTACAGAAAAACTCTAAAAGATCTTGATTCTAAGGACACCTTTTCCCATAATAATAGATTGCCCCCCAACACCCAACTCACGCACACACAAACCATTAAGAAAGCTGACTAAGATAACACACAATTTTCAGCTCCTGATCTGATTACTCAAACACTTCATTGTTTTTAATCAAAGTGCAATCAGAGATGCAAAGAGGAGAAGCAAGATGGATGGATAGAGGTAGCACACGATTTTGAGCCAGAATTAAAAAGAAAAAGAAAAAAACCGATCAAATCCTAACAATCAAAAATACCTCATTGCTTTTAGGAGGTGATTCGAGGGAACCTCTTTTCTGTTCATTTATCTTTAAACTTTTACTTATTGACCTCGGCTTCTTCCTCTGCAAGATCCTTTTCAAATTCTTTGGGGTACACACCCCAGTTTCTGCCTGGCTATCCTTTAACAGTGAAAGATCAGCAGTTTTGTCCTTCATGACATTTAAAGTGGGTTCAGCAGAGACTTTGGAACTAGAATAATGAACTTGTTCTCCCTTCTCTACCTGTTGTGCAAGTGAATTGTTAGACACAAAACTGAAACAACGACCTTAAGAGATAAGATTTGAAAGTTTTAACTCTTGAATAATCACGTGAATCAGATAACAGCAATGACATGGAATTTATACTTTTTAACTTGGCGCCTAATGAGCATGCAGGAGAAATGATTATTCTAATGTCAGTTCTAAAGACATTGTACATATTTGAGAAACGTTAAGTTCAAAATATTGGCCGTAATCACTGTTTAGTAACAATTTATAAGATCCGCATGGAAAGGAGTCGAGAAAATCTACAACTGAAGATGTGACTTTGAATAATGAGCCGAAACAGAATTGTAACTGTTGCATTTAATGTAAATGAAATACCAGCTTACCTTTCTAGACTTCAGAGCTAAATAACGGGAATTCTTGAACCATTTGCTAACCTGAAATTGCAACTCGAATGTAAATAACCGGATCATGGAAGTAAAGAAGAGCTAACGTGATGTTAAAGAGTAATCCTAGAGGACAATATAATGTACTGCCACAAAAAGCAAAACAAAGAAAGAAAAGGCTCATTTTCTACTCTTTTTTTTGTGTGTGTGTGTATCCTATTGTAATTCTGTAAGTTCTATTTCAAAAAATCATTCTAATGCATGCATTGATTGAGTAGCTTAAGTTGTTACCTTCCCAGGTTCAAGGCCCAATTCTTTTGATAGATTCTCCTTGACAGTTCTCGATGGAAGTTCATTCTCTGCAAATACTTGGCGAAGTTTCTAGGAAATCACATGAAAAGGGAAAGATAGCTTAAGCAATTTACCAAATTAAGTTAATAAATAAAAATAAAAAGAGAGAACATAAGAGATTATCTGACAACACACTTGGAGAAAATTACTACCTCAACAGCATCAGGGGGGAGCCTGAAAATTGGCCTTCGAATTTGAGGGTCTCGTGGAAGCTTCATCATGCCTTCAATGGTGGCATCATTTTTACATCTTCTTTTACTTTCATAAAGAGTCATTAGGGTGCTGGCTGCATCTGACTCCTTCTCTCGTCGCTTCCTTTTGCTAGGACCCCAATCTTCATCTTCACTGGGTTGCTCATGTGCAGGAGCGTCCTTTCCAAACATCTCCTGATAGGAACGAATATAACATTGCATTAGATAAAGGAGTCTCTCATGAAATAGAAAGCTTCAAAAACAAAATGTAAAACTCTACAACATTTGTTTCAATGGAAGAAATTTGAGAGCTAAACAGAAAAGGTGTTGAGTCTTTGGTGTTGGATCTTTCCATCACTAGCTTATTTGGGAAAATCATTGGTCTAACACAAGCATTTATGAAATGCCCACTCATTCCCCTTCCAATGATGATGTCAGGTACGGTTTGCATGTTATAGAGTAACATAAAACCATTACTCGGGCCTTCTCTAGCCGCTGAAGTTTTTGGAATGAGATGCTTCTTTGTCGTAGTACCCGGGTCTTTCTTATAATTAAAATTAAATTGGAGCACCCTTGAAAGGGCATACCTGAGTTTTAAACTTAAAAAACTTTCACTTGAAAGGAAGTGTTAGAAATAAATATAAAACTATTTTTGAAATCTCACCTAACAGTTTAAACTTTTGAATTAAGATGGTTAATTGACATATTTGCAAGCTACTTCAAAGAAAAATACCATAGAAACCTATTAACCTTCAACAAGAACACAACCAAAAAAACTAATCCTGCATGGTGGAGGAACAAAAGCAAAGTCTAGTGAAACAATTCATTCATGATTCTTTTTCTTGGTCCTTGTTTTTTTTTCGTTCTCCCAAATTTGACCCCTAAGTTTGAAAATACATTAGTACTTCAACATTTCATATTGAATATGGTATAAACTTGTTCAATGAAGATATAGTTTAAAATTTAAAACACAACTTTTTGCCACTGTATGGCCACTCAAAATCACCGAAGATTTTTTTCCTTCTCCTAAATTTGACCCCTAAGTTTTAAAATACATTAGTACTTCAATATTTCTTATTGTTTATGGTATAAACTTGTTCACGAATATATAGTTTAAAATTTAAAACACAACTTTTATCCCAGTGTATGGCCACTTAAAATCACTAAAGATGCGCACCTCTTCCCATGAATTAGAAACCAAACTATGAAGTTGATTCAAGACTGTCACACCAGCCATGACTTCCGGTTTTATGCAAAATTAGTGATGCTATCTTTATTTTATGGTAGAAAAATTTATAGTACTTACATTGTATAACTTCTTATAATCAACTGCTCTTCTCTGCCTACGGCCACAAATAATTTCCCCATCACTGGTTTCATCAGAATCTAAACTGCTATAAATAGAATTGTTTCTGAAGTCCAAGCCATCCACCTCCCACCTCCTCGATCCTGAAAAAACCTCACCATCTGAAGACCAACTCAAGCGGGTTGAATTGCTGGTGTCATCAGATGCATCATCATCAGTACCTGCTCCACTCATGATGTTCTCTCTCCTCTCTGGATCATAATCATCATCTTCGGAATCATCAGAAGGCCATTCTTCTTCTGGATTTAATAGCATATTTCCACCATCAGGAACTGCTGCTTCTTCTTTGAAAATATCCTACTTCAAGAAAGAGTGAACATCAGTTTGGTTAGCAGGGCAGCAAAACCAAGATTCTTTTATTTCTGTTTCATTTTTTATTTTATTTTTTTGCAAGGAAAAAGGCTTTAGAATATTTCAACAATAACCTGCCAACCGCTGTCCTCTGAGAAGTGGGTCCCCAAATGAGCATTCATGGCTTCTATAATTTCCATCCTACAGTCACAGAACTTGCAAAACCATCCCTGATCTCCTGGAGGTACTGCAGAAGTGCATATTACCAAATGTATAGAAAATCTTAGAAACAAACAATTTGTTTCGTGACTCAGTAGAAAAGTTTTACAAGAGAAGTGAGTAGAACTGACTATTTTCAGTATCCAAAGGAGGATCAAGGCATTTTTGGTGGAAGGCACAGTTGCATGTCCCATCACAGAGTACAATATCATTATCTTGGGAAACTTCATTCAATTTGCACTTCGCACAGAATATCTATATCAAAATACGGAAAAGAAAATATAAATATAAGCAATTGTACTTGGAGCCTAAGTTCATGCAGTATCTAAGCCCAAATTTGACTTAAACAGAAGGACTCCACAGTTGATGTTGGGAAAAAAAATGCATGTTTCAACTTTTCTTAGACAATATTTGTCTCCTTTTGCCTCAATCAATTTCATGGCCGAATTACTGAATGAGCATGTTCTTTTTCAGCTTCTGGATGGTGAGAAGCAAGAAGTGAGTATGCTTATTGAGAAATGCATGCACAAATTCAGGAAATACTAGGTACCAGTCTCTATTAGCAAGAATTCATCAAAAAGGTTGATTCTTCTTTAATGTTTTACAATCCTGAACATTCTCACAAAGCTGTTGCTGGTTCTGCATGCTTACATGTTCATGGGAAACAGATCCATCTGGAGCCATAACAGCGTCTTCAATACATCCTACTGTACTTAGAGAATCCACCAGCCGAATTATTTCACGTAATCCAAGTTTACATTTCAAAATCTGTTTCCTGGCTCTCAGTAGTTCCTTTTCTGGCCGAATCTTCTCTCGACTGTGACAGAAATTCAGTAAATGATAAGAACGTTCTTTCATTGTTTGAAGGTTCTTTCAATTTCAAACTTCCAGTCAGTTGAGTTCTTTTTGTTTCATTTTGTATTTATGCATTTTGTAAACTGGGAAAATTCCTTTGGTCTGAGAACAGATTCAGTAAAATATTCCAAATTTTGAAGAATAAATGATTGAAAAGAAAATTCATCTCAAATCATATGCAGATGAAAAATTAAACACAGTTAACACATCCACCAGATTCTTTTGGCTGAACTTTACAATGAAAATGTCTTTGAGCCTATCCTAATTCTCAACTTCAGAAGGGAAATATTGAATCTCATATAAAAATTTGATCAGAACTTCCTAGAAATATGAAATAGCTCCAAATATGGTAAAATTTTCAGACATAGATACTTGTCAAGATTCATGTAACAGGATTAGAAGAAAGGGGGCATATTCATTCAAGCATCCAACTTCTTCCTGTAATAAAGTTGTTTGTACAAGGCATGCTTCAAGAAAATGAACCATCTTCGATCAACAATTTCAAAACAATTATATTTCACCTTTATATCTTTCACATAAAATTTTCTCACTCATTAAGAAGTGGTTAGACTTTAAAAGGATTCCTTAAACTATAGGTTTGTAATCAAAAGCTGAAATTAACTAGCAGATGTTCTTTATTTTTCAAAGGAATCAAAAGCTGAAACTAACTAGCAGATGTTCTTTATTTTTCAAAGGAATGAGGTGCAAGAAAATCTCTTTACCTTTTACCTTTCCAACCTTCTCCAGAGTAAGCATCTATAAGATTCTGCTCCAGCTTCATTTTAATCATCAAGTACCTTGCTCTCCTCTGCAAGCGTGATGGTTCATCTAGCTTTACCTTGTCCCTTTGCCTTTTCTTAGGCTTCCTCTTCTTGACATTTTTAATTGCACCTTCATCAGCATTTTTTCCATTCCCCTCAGAATCAATAGCTGACAACTGTTTGCCTTGGAGCTCTGAGGAAGCCCCATTTCTTGAGGCCTTCTTATCAAGTGCTTTATGCAGAATTTTCCTGTGAATCAATCTTCTACTGGTAGAGCCATTCCTGATGCCCTTCTTAGGAGTAACCTTTTTCTTTGATACAGAGGAATTAATGATAGTTTTCAGACGAGGTTTAGCTTTCGCTTTTTTGCTTTTTCTATGAGATAATTTGCCACCCTTCTTTATCTTCAATGATTTAATCAGCAACGACCCATTCACTGTGTCAGATGGTGAAGATTCGTGCAAGTCTTGCTGCTTTGATTTCTTTCCAGAATCACCCATATTGATCTCTCATGTGTGAGAACTGAAAATATCATTACAGATGTATAAGCAATCGTTTAGCTGTATAGTTATTGCTCATAAATAAAGAAGAAGCTCAAGATCTACTGCAGAGATAAGTCTACAGTTTCCACAACTTTTCAATTCCAGTTTCAAGCATGACCTAACATGAAATTTTACCACCATTGAATTCCATAAAAGTCAGCTTTTTCAACATGTTTCATCTAATATAACTACCCATGCGTTGACTTTTTGTGCATCATTATCAATCTAAATTTGGCAATATTTCTTCATAGACAAAGAAAATGTAACGTCCAATGTTAAGAGTAAAATTAAAGAACATTCGATTTTCTTTAATCATTTTTAAGATTCAAACATCCACAGAAAACGAAATCAACATGGAACCCTAAACAACTATGACAATTAAAGCCAAAAAATATTCCATACATTTCACACCCAAGACTATCAAACCCACGGTCATTCATTAACAATAATATCCTTCAAGGTGATCACTGGATTACATTCTCAACTCTAATTCCAGCACGTTTACGCTGCAAGAAACAAATTCTTAGATTCATAAACCACAATCATCCATGATCACCAACAAAAATATCACAAGGAAATCACCCCAAGGCAAGCATCGTTAGCATTGAAAGCAATCTATAATCACCAAAACAACAATTTAAGAAGAACCCAGATGACAAATCAAAACCAAGACCTCAAAATATATTCACATTGAAACTAAACATAAAAAGAATGACAACCCAAGAAAGCAAGCTCAAAATCAATAATGAAGTAAAGGGTACCTCAGAAACTCAAGAATGAGACATCTCCACCTCCTGCACTATAATATAAAATACAAAGAGCACGTATTTAAAGGACACAGAGCGAGGTTTTCTTGAGTGATTTGTGGCCTAAAAAAGGCTCCAAAGTTTTGAAATTGGAAATTTGAAATCTGGGATTTGGTGTCTAAATAGAAGTGAAGTGGAAGATATTTAATCTGATGATTGAATGAATGATTTGGCAAAGGGGTGGCTGTTTCTCGAAAAGCGCCACCCAACGGTTTTCGCCTTCCAAGTCCCTGTTTCTTTCTGTCTCGTAAAGGAAAGTGACTAATTGAAATTACTTGCCAAAAGGTACTCAAATCAATACTAATTATTTTTAAAAAATATTAGAATATTATTGAACCAATTTTAGAACATGAATATTTACATTTTCTGTAGTTATTTTTAAAGTATTTTTTATTTTAAAATATTTTAAAATAATATTTTTTTATTTAAAAAAATTATTTTTAATATTAATAAATTAAAATAATTTAAAATTAAAAAATTAATTTTTTAAAAAAAACACTTCCAAAACACAATACAAACACACTCTTATTAGCCCGATTCAAAGGTTTGAGCAGTGGGTTTTTTAAATGATATTTTAGAATAAAAAATTAAAATAATTCTATTTGAAATTAAAATTAAAAAAATTACGCTACCAATTATTTCAACAAAATCACATATATGACCCCCAAGCATTCTGGAATTTGATTGAATTAATTTTTTAAATGATTTGAAAGGAAACCTGCCTTGAATTATTATTTTTATTAGCAAATTATGAGTGAATTCATCAACTAAGCTGGTCATAAATATTTTTTTTAGTTTTGAATTTGTGATGATAATGCAAGGAACAAGTTCAGTATCATCCAAAGCCAATATAACCCTTCGAATTATGTTTATTATGCTGCTGCTCGTTTTACTTTAATTTGGGTGTGTTGCAGTAATGTGTGCAGCATTGGACTATTTTGCTTTGTGTAAAAACAGGGAAATGAAACTTTCAAACCCTTTTTGTGATTATATGCGAACTACTAATTAGTGTTTGTAACAGATAATTCCGTGATGGGATGGATTATCCTTGTTTTTATGGTGTGAAACTTCTTTTCTAGTCTTGTAAAGGCTTATTTTACATGATTTAGTTTAATTGGTGAAGTTATAGAAGTATAGTTGCAAGGATTAGCTAGCCAGGTGGATCCAAGAAAATGTGTGATCATTTCAAGCCCCCTAGCCCATGCATCAATGATCCCATTTGACCAGGCTACGGATTTGGGTCTTGTTTTTCAGTTATTGGCACAGTTTAAGGCCGGGTTATTAGCTAGCCTTGCATGATGCAGCCACAGCTCTACAAATTTTGATCAGGCAATCTTCTTGAAACACTGGCGGATTTTAGCTAAGAAGAGATCATAGAAGAAAGAGATCAGGATCGCCAAGAATCTATTTTTCTTGTTCCAGAAAAAGAAATAGAGGCTCATACAAGAAAGGGCCAGTTCAATGGCTGAGCTATAAGGGCGTGCTGTCTCAACACCATAAAATTGCTTGGGCCAGAATTGGCTCTAGGCAAAAAGGGGAAATCCACACATTAAGGCATAGCACCCTGCCAGATTTCACATAGAAAAATCAACATTCTAAAATGGAAATTAAAATGAACGCATCATTGATCTTTGATAAGAACGTAGTAATCAATAACAAAAACACAGTTGTTTCTCTTGTAACCATTCATTTTAACAGTGGATCACAAAAGTAATGAGTTCAACCAGTCAAAAGTATTTTATTTCATCATTTCAGACTGCAAACCATTGGCAAAGACCGTATCTTCCAGTCTACAATATCCAGAAATACCGAAAAAACACCAAGCAAATAAATGGTCACCAAAGCAAATTCCAGAAGGTTCACCGAGTCCTGCAAAGAGAAACAGTCCTGTCAAAACCATAAAATATGATTACCTTCACAAACAGAGACATGGACCCGCACGCACATGTGCAGCAATAATCCATATTGAGTTATATCTAGTTAAGAGTTGAGGTTCAGGTTGTAAGCAACACAACATTGCTGATCTCAATAGATATAGCACAGATAAGCACACAGAGCACACCAAGACTCGGTTCCAAAATTATTTGAAAACTCACAATAGATACACACATGCATGAAGAACTTAATAAACATGAGTTTTCTTCTAATAGAGAGGTATGGCAACACTCATTACAAAGCACATAGTAATTTGGCTGTCAAAAAGAAATGTAATAGATCTGAGTAAAGATTTATTTAGTAGACATGAGAGAGAGAGAGAGAGCAACTCAGATAATGCAAATTGAGTGTGAAGTTGTTTGCGGTATGTTTTTAGCACACACCTCTTTGAACTTATGTCACCCATCAGCAAAACTACAGAGCGTTGTGTTTCCATCAAACATAAACAAGGAAAGAACAGGCACCAAAATAATCCTATTCCAAGGAAAAACAAAGAAGGAAAAACTCCAATCCCCACAGTTTAAGTTTCATTAACCCCATTCAGAAATTTTCCATCAATTTAAAGGAGAGAAAGGATGCCAAGGCACTCAAGATTCCATTCCAAGAAAGAAACTGCTACCACAAGGCAGGCTTGAGTTTAGGCAAAGGGACGATGCCTGTGGGAACCCCTACAACTTCATACACAATTCTTATTAGCAAAGAGCATCAAAAACAAAACCTGTAAATACAAATGTGAATCCCTTTTTCCTATGCATTCAAAAAAACTACTTGGTATCTATATGAATAGACAAAAAAATTCTTTATTTTCTTAAACTCCGGAAAAAAAAGAATATTGAATGCCATACATGCATCAGATGACCATGTAACTTAAGCATGTAGCACAGCAGAGAACATAATATTAGTTAATGCTTATGGTTGTCAAATGTACAATGGTGTGTATGCACATGACAAATGTATACATTCAAGGATACAAACATATGGATCAATTCAGAAACACCAATTTGCAAAGTTGGGCACTTTATTATAGGCAGGGTGGTAAAGAGAAAGGAAGGCCAATGAGATGTCCAAATGTACATTGGCTCAAAGGGAAAATAGATTGTGCACTAACAATGTCCTTTAAACTATTGGTTCATGAAGGCACACTTCCATTACATTAAGCCGTGAAGAGGACAGATAGCATAAGATGATCCAGGCAGACTTAGACATAACACAAACAGAATTTTAATTCCCCTCATACTCAATCCCTTTCCAGTTCTTCCAGCCTTCTGATTATAACAAGTAATATAAGCAGAGCATAAAGTGGGTTTAGAAGAAAATTAAGGAAAACACAAAGGTTCTCTTAGGAAACTACATAGCCAATACTCTAACAATAGGATCTGCAAGTATCTAACAGAGCAAGATCAAAACAGTGAAGAGGAATCTACAACACATTCATAAAAAAATTTAATTATCAATAATCCAGGCATTATGAACTTCAAAACTGTCAAGTTATAGAAAAGAAAATGTAGATAAAACCAATAAACAATACAGTAAACCACATAACTTGTAACCAAATATCGCATAGTCAAGTATTTCCCACCACACTCCTTTCCACCAAACCCCCACCCCACCTCCCCACTTCCCCAACCCCATCCTTCTTGAACACATCGCTTCAATCATCCAAACAAACAAACATTTGCTAATTGGTATTCTGCATCCACTCAAAAAACTCCTCCCAGTCAAATCACTTCTTTTTTTCTTTTTACCATACTACACCTGAAATGAATAAAAGTAAATCCAAGACACTAAATCACATTAACCCACAACCAATAACCCCATAAATCCACCTGGGAAATAAAAGCGAAAACATGAATGTAACTGTAATCACTAAGGATAACCACTCAACATGCTCATGTGCCAACCAATAGAAATTAACAAAATGAACAAAATGAAAAATAAAGATCTAGTAAAATCCATGAAACCCAGATTCATTAATCAGGGGGAAAATGGGGGAAAAAACCAGCAACACAATCCAATCACACATTACAGTTCTCCCACCAAATGAAAATCCCAAAACACAAACTCCAGACATATGCTTCAACGTTCTCTCACATTAAACCCAACAAAGAAATCCCCTAGACAAACCACAATCAAACCCAAAAAACACTGATGTATAATTACATACAATCAAAACCAAACAAAAACCACCAATAAAATCACTAATCACACCACAAAAAAACCCGACCACCTACATTTCAGAGACATTTCAAAATCAACTACCTAAACGTGCCTTAACACATGAAAGTAATCAAAAAACAAACAAAATCTACCAACAAAACTATCCAAAAAATCTACTCAACCCTTTTGAGCTTTCAAACCCATCAACAAAGCCCAACAATAAAAAACAAGACTAGAAGGAAACTGTCCAAAAAAACCGATCGATCAATCAAATCCCATCAAAATACACAAAACCCACAAACAAAATCATCAATAAATACCAAAAGCGCTACCTTTAATAAAAAGAACGATAAAAACCGTCACTCCCTAGTGCCCACCATGCTCCTTAGCATGTTGCTGGTGCTCAAGATGACGGCGTTCCTCAGGAAGAGCAATAAGGTAAGACAAAATCATGCCACCATAGCAAACATGAAGAAGTGGATCGATTGAGCTTGTTTCTATATACTTCGCATGGTAATTATCCATTCCTCTTTGCACTGCTTTCTTCACATAACCAATTGATAGCATCGGCTTCACGTGGTCGGGCAATTCCTTAACTTTCAAGCCCTTAATTTCGCTGTAGAGCTTCCTTAATGCCATTTGATCGAGTGGGATCGATGAAACCCTAAACCTAGTTTTTTTTAATTTGGGGATCAGGTTCTCGTTGATGAGCGGAGAGAAATGTATAGAGAGAGGTGAGAGGGTGGGCAGTGGGGAGCGAAGGGAAGATTCTGGTACAGTTAATTGGATGTGTTTGTAAAATCATGGACCGTCAATACTGGTGATATCCATCTCAATGAAAATTTTAATTTTTTTTAATTTAACACTTTTTTTTAATAGGTAAAAGAACACAATTTAAAAATAAATTATGAAATAATATAGTATATACTTGTTAAAGCTAGAAAATACGAGATTTAAAGTTATCAATGTTTGGAAATGCAAAGAATTTCATATGAATTGGCATAAATTACAATAAATAAATAAATTATGAAATAATATATATATATATATATATATATATATATATATATAAGGTTTTGAATACACAAAAAAAACTTCAGTTACAATATCATTGATACTATAAAAAAGATTTTAACAAAATAAATTCAATGCTATAAAAAAAATAACAACAATGCTAGAATAGGTTATATTTTTCACCCAAAATAGATAAATAACTCATTTATTTTTGACAACAAGTGGAGTTTATTCTAGTCATAGTTACCGATTTTTTTAATGTCGTTAGATTTATTATTTTGATATCTTTTTAAGAGTACTAATAAAGTTATAATTTCAGCTTCAATGTGCCTTAGAGTCTTTTTTTTTTTTCCTTTCCTTTTATTCTTTCTATCTTGATTATAATTTGTGCTAACTTATTTAAGATTTTTCTACAATGTCAAGTTTCTAAATATTAAAAACTTTAAATATTGTGTTTTTCAATTATAATACATACAAATCATGTTATTTCATTGATTTTCTTTTTAAATTGTGTGAGTTTGGCAATTAAAGAAAAAAATCATGTTGGAAAGCAAAATTACTTGAAAATTGATGTTTTTTCTATGAATAACAATGGATATTTATGGATCGAGTTTAACTCATAATGAACTTGACAAACATATAATTTTTTTAAAAATTTTAAGGTTATCTATTTATTTTAGATAATGTAAATTGGTGTTCATAACTAGTCCAAAACCTAACCTTTTGTCTTTGGATTTTACCTAAACCCGAGTAAAAAACTTGAGATAAAACCCAATTAAAACCTGAGTAAAAAGCTTTTACATTATTTTGATCATTTTTTAGAAAAAAAATTGAGGTTAATTTTATTGATTTGTGACTAGAGCTTTACCCTGAATCGATCAAATATGATAATAATTATTTTTATTATTACATGTCTTAGTTTGACACATTTTGGAATGCAAAATTTCTTTATGGATAAAAAAATAATGAATATTATATCTACGGACATGTGTCCCTTCTATACCTTTTATTTTAAAAGTGTAGATATTCATTTTAAATTTATCTTAAATCATATTTATTTTTATGTTTATATCTCTTCAACTAGATATATTTTTATATTCTTTGTCTCCATCTTTTTTGCTCAATAACCAAATGCTATCATTATGATATAAGTTTTCTTTTATAAGCATTCCATCTTATAAAAAAATGAAATGGAATATTATATTAAGTGGCAATTTTTCCATTAAGAAATTAAAATCTTCAAAACTAAAGAAAAAAATAAATATTTAAAACTTATCCAAAAACATGAAATTACATAGTACCATGTTAGTGCAAGTTCTTTTTTTATTATCTTATTTAATTTTAGTTTACCATAATTATAGATAAAAAAAAAACCTTTGAAAATTCTGAAACTTAAGGTGAATCATTAGACCAACTACTTAAAAAAAAGATTTATAATTAATATTTTGTTTAAGGTGTGGTGGCTTCTATTAAAAAAATATTAAATTGATAATATTTTTTATGATTTTAATATGTTAATATAAAAAAATAAAATAAATATGAAAAAAATCATCTTAATACATTTTTAAATGAAAAGTACTTTTGAAAAAACACATTATAACACAATAACAAACACATAAAATTCAACTGGAGGAGGAAACTTTAAAGTTGAATGTTTAAAGACTCGATTATAATTTTTCAAGGTTTATTTGAATTTATTGAGGTCTTAATTTCAAGAAATATTGCTTTTTCAAAGTCAGTTTAGATTTTAATTGGAAAAAATGAAAGTTTGAGGTCGAATTGCAATTTTCAAGAGTTAAGTTGGATAAATCAGGAGTTTAATTATATAAATATTGAAGTTTGATAGACAAATAGAAACTTGATTGAAGAAATCTAAAACTAAGAAATAAGGGTTGAAATTGATCAAATTAAAAAAATTATAAGTTTGTTATCAATTGAAGGTCAAAATACATAAATTTAGAATCAAGGATCAAAATGAAAAGAAAGGTCAACTTAAGGGTTGATATTTGAGTTTGGAACTATAACGGGAGTTAAATTGCATACAATTAAAAAAAATTTTCTTGTTAATTAATTTTCATTGCTTATGGACCCTAATTTGGGTGATCTATAGATGACTAGGATGAAGCGTGGATGAAATTAAGTGGAGGTACGATTAAGGGTGCACATGCCATAATTGAACGAAGAAGGACTAAATTAAGACATTTTCAAATCTCAAATTAGAAACCCTAATTTCTAGAGTTTTAAACCAGATAATACGCCATTTAGCTTTTATTCATTTTTGCTTCTGGCAGTTTATGATGATTAGGTTCGCACCTTCTAAGAGCTTGTTCTAAAGTTTTAGACCTCTAAATGGCAATAAGTTTTTTTTGCAAATAAAAGAGGAATATCCTCTTTACAATTCTATTTCCATAAAATTAGACGTTTACATCCTAATCATGGAAGTTTGAACATCTTTTTTTTAATTAGTTATCACTCAATTTTCAAATTTAAGGTTGATCAGTTTGGTATATTGAACAAATGAATGTGGAGCTACAAACCTTTAAAATGAGTAAGAATGGATCAAATGAAAGGTGTGCACCCCCTCTACTAGATCCAGGTGATCTCGACGATAACATTGGAATTACTCTGACAAAGCTTTGAAAGTAGAAAACTCAATCAATCTTACCGATGTAACTATCTTGAAAAAAAAAACTCAAGTTTTATGTTTTTTATTAGTTTCTTAGATTCAAATATATTTGTGTATGATATTGTGACTTGTTAGGATAGGAAAAAAAGAAAAAGAAAGAAGAAGGGTGCTTTAGAAGCCAAAAACATCATTTTTCTAGGTCTAATAGAGCCTACCTTTGCTAGAAATTTTCTTGGCTTTCTAGGCATGTTTTTCGTGTTCTTAGAAAAAAGATATTTTCTTTGTCTTTAGATTTGGACAATGTTTGGTTCATTTCTTTGCACATAACCTTTTCTTGTGTATGACCAACTAATAATCTAGTGTTTATTTGTAGCAAAAACAGGTTTATAATAATTTTTAGTCTTAGAGTTTTGATTTTAAATTAAAACCTATTTTTTCCATATCATAATGATTTAATAAATTGAAGTGAATGAACACTTAATTCTTGATCATTGAATGATTTGCAATCTTTTAATGCTTTTGATTTTATGAAATCTATTCTGAATTTAAGTTCATGTTATTGGATTCATTTTGAATGTTTTTTTATGTTTGATCTATTTTGTTTAAAGAATTTTTAAGTTCTTATATTTTTTAAGTGTTTAATTTATTTTTATTTCTTTTACTTTAGTTTTGATTTTTAGTTGTTTTTAGGATCAAACTAAAAAAAATTATTTTATTTATAGTCAGGTTAAAGATTTTAGGATCCAGTAGGGTAAAAAATTAATAAAAATTTATTTTTTTCTTATATAAAGCTAAAAATCCTAAATCATTTTCTTATAATCCTAGATAGTTCACTAGAAAATTTCCCTTTGACAAGAGAATCTTAAATCGAATGCATAAAGATCATTGTGGCCAAGACCATCCTTCAATACAAGTACTATATATGAACACATTTTTTTTTTCTATGAATAATGTTTGGCCTGCTTCCCTGTCCGTTTTGCCTCCTAAGAACAAAAACCTCTTTCCTTGTTTTACCTTCTCTCCATTCTCAGTTGCGAAACATGGGTACTTTGGATATTTCTCATTTATGTTCTGCAGTTGTTCTATAGAACTTATGTGACCAGACACACCAGACAAGACACATAGGGATAGCTAGACAGGTATAGTTCATGAACTTGATAGCCGATGCTCTTTGGCGCCGATCCTGAGTGGTCCAAATACAAGTACCGAGTTGTGTCTACACTGTTTGGGATCGTGGTTTGTTTTGTACAGTTTGGAAATACATTACAAACTGCATTTCTTAAATATTTAATTTTTTTTTGTTTTTTTTATTATTTTAATGACTAATTTAAAAAATAATCTTTTTAAAAAATTATTTTAATATAAAAAATATTTTAAAAAATAATCATAAACTCTCGTCTGAAGAGACTAGCACAACTTACATTTTTCTTCCAGCATTTAGTAGAGTAGGCCATTGATTAGCACTATTATTCGATGCAAGCTTTCAACTTTATCGGTGCAGGATTAACATTAAAAAATTATTATTAATTAAATTTTTTTAATAATATAAGTATTTAGATTAGTTAATTTTATGAGTTTTAAAGTTATTAATTATATAAATTTTTAATAATTTTAAAAGAATTTGAGCTTATCATCATTAAAAAATAAATTTAAAATCTAATTAATTAAATTATTTTTTAATATTATTAATCATATATAGTAGTCTAACTACCTGCGGAGATCGTAACCAAACAATTTTCTTCCGTTTCCTCACAAGGGCAAATTAATGTTTGAGAGATCCCTTTACGAGATATCCTTGTTTTATTTTAAAAAGATGTGTGTGGTTATAGCTCGGGTGTCAGGTTGTAAAACAACGACGATCGTGGTCATCAAGCCTAGCTTCAGTCATCGCAAGTGGATATCGATGGGGTCCAAGATAATGATAAGACACGGTTGAGCAAATTCTATCATTATCATCCTCTCTAGGCATCTTTGGGGTCCAAGACAACGATAGATATGGTCATTAGTGAATTAGGAGAGGCAAGTACTCAGAGACAGCTATCAAACTCCTATGGCATTAACACACCTAAGCTTGATAAAAGAAAAATGACAAGAGATGAAAATGTACGGAGACAACGCAAAAGAAGAAGGAAATAGATTTTATCATGATATGAAAATATGGATAGATGGATCTGGCTAGTAATCACACATAACAATTATAGGCGTGGTGTGGGGAGCAGTGTGGGGTGGGTAGCAGTGTCGGGTGGGTGGGTGGTGCACTCGGGGGGGTGGGGGCGGGGGGTCAGATCAAGATTCTAGCTAGCTTCTATACAAACGCCGAGTCTGCACTAGCAGGGTCACCAGCTCCTCAACAATGTCAAAGAGCAGCAGCTCACAGGTGATAGCATGCAAAGGTATGTTCAGAATCTGCTAAATGCATATGCTTGCAAATTTGCGTTGGCAATTTCTTTCACTGTAATCCTTCTTTTATGTCTGCTTGGGATCTATCGTGGCAGCGGCAGTATGCTGGGGAGCAGGGGAGCCGTTGAAGGTGGAAGAGATACAGGTGGAGCCACCAAAGTTTTCTGAGATCCGTGTGAAGGTGTTATGTGCTAGTTTATGCCATACCGATACCTTATATGCCAAAGGATCCCTGATTGTTAGTATTAAAACTTGTCTCACAAGTTATGATCAATTAACTTTGTTAACTTCTTCGTTAATTTAATTCACCTATCTTGCTTTTCAGCCTCTTTTCCCTCGAGTCCTAGGCCATGAAGGAGTTGGGTACGTTAGCCTTGATGATGTATATATGCTTATATATATGCCTATTTGTTTAAACCTAACATGTATGTAGTGTAGAGTGGTGGAAAGCATAGGTGAAGGAGTGAGAGATCTTAAAGAAGGAGACCTAGTGATTCCAACCTACCTTGGAGAGTGCCAAGAATGTGAGAATTGCACCTCTGGGAAGACCAATTTATGCTTGAAGCACCCGTTAATCCTCAATGGGCTAATGCCTGATGGCACTTCAAGAATGTCCATTAATGGACAAACATTGTATCAACTTTTTACATGCTCAACATGGTCTGAATACACGGTGATTGATACCAATTACGTTGTCAAGATTGATCCAAGCATAGATCTTCCTCATGCAAGCTTCCTTTCGTGTGGGTTCTCAACTGGATTTGGGTCAGCCTGGAAGGAAGCTAATGTTGAGAAGGGATCAAGTGTTGCTGTCATTGGTCTAGGCGCTGTTGGATTAGGGGTATTGCAACTTAATGTGTCGCTTCTTTCTTCTTCTTTTTTCGCCTTTTGGTCCTTAATTTTCTTTAATTATTTCTGAGCACCAGTCATTGAATCAGATTTGATAATTAATGCTGATTCTTTGTACAAATTGCAGGCCGTAGAGGGAGCTAGAATGCAAGGGGCAACAAAAATAATCGGAATAGACAAGAATGAAAAGAAAAGAGAGAAAGGGCAAGCCTTTGGAATGACTGATTTTATAAACCCAGACGAATACTTCAACAAAACTATTTCAGAACTGATAAAAGACATAACAGGTGGATTGGGTGTGGATTACTGCTTTGAGTGCACCGGTGTCGGACCCTTGATTAACGAAGCCCTCCTGGCAACAAAACCAGTAAGTTTCTGCTTCTCTTAGCCTAAGTGCACTGTTCTATATTCGTCGAATAGGTTAACTTGACACATCAACCAGGTTAAGATTGGATTAATTCTGAGCTATTATATATATATCTGGCCTGAATTATGAGGTGGGTTACTTTGGTCTCAAATAGACATTTCAAGCTAGTCCGAATTTAAAAACTTGATTTAAAGATGTATGGATACTATATTAAGAGTTTACTTCTGTTTTTATATGATGTTAGGGGAAAGGAGAAACATTTGTAGTTGGTGCTGGAACTGATCTAACTGTGTCCATCAACTTCCTACCTCTTTTATGTGGTGGAACTTTGAAGGGTTCTCTTTTTGGAGGTCTCAAAATTAAATCCCATCTCCCCATTTTGCTTGACAAATGCAAAAATAAGGTGAGTTAAATATATAAATTAGCTTCTTGTAGAGATGAATTTATTTGTTTTTTATTTCATCTTAGAACGCTAATAAATACAGTTTATGTGTATGATTGTGTTCAGGAATTCAATCTCGATGAACTTTTGACTCATCAAGTTATGTTGGAAGATATAAATAAAGCTTTCCAACTTCTGGAGCAACTAGACTCTGTCAAAGTCCTTATCAAGATGTGACTAATTTAATATGATAGACCCTAAATAAATCAAGTGTTTTAGAAAGATGGTTGCAACTTAAGACTTTTTTTTTATGCCAAGTACCATGAGTCATAATAAATACTTTAAATGTTGTATCACACTATTGTTTCTATGTTCAATTATTAGAGGGAAAATGTAATTTTGATATCAAGTTTTACTATCTTGGGTTTAGTATCATGTATTGTGATTGCCCCTTTTTAAGTTTTTTTTTTTGTTAAAAAACAAAAAAAAGCTTAGAATGATTGTATTCTCGATTGTGAAAAAACCTCGATTGTATTCTCAATTGTGAAAAAACCTCATATGAAAATCCAGCATTTCACGAGTTTTGATCCTGGATCAAAATATGTATGTTTCATTGTGAGCTTGATGTCTTCATCTGATTATTGGCTTGAGATTTTTTATATTTAAGTAGATATATGTATTAAAAAAATAATGTGTGAAAGAATTGAGAAAAAATGTGTTAGGTTTGAGAAAATATGATTCATAAAACCTGTTTTGTTCTATTTACCTGATAACACAAAATATTTATAGATCTTGGCTATGTTAATTCATCTAAAAAATATTATTAAAATTTATTGGTGAAAATATTAATATTTACAATAAAAAATAGTGTCTAGCATATTATTAGTGAATTATTTGGTAAATATTAGTAACATGTTAACTAAAAATAATCATTAGTGGAGAATATAGGTGTTTAATTGCATAAAAAATAGTTTATGTTTACACTATTAATAATTGGCTGAAAACATGATGTTCACTTGTATAAAAACTTATATTTGAAAATAATATATCAATGAAAACATAAAATATTTGTGTGTGTGGAAAGTGCATGACATCGTATTCTAACTCCATATAACTCATAAAAATATGTTAAGAATATGTGTATATAATTAAGGCGGATGTTGAATTTCTTATTAATAAAATAAAAGAATGTGAAGCTATTCTTGTATGACCAAAATAATATTTTAAGCATTTATACATTGATTGAGTGAATTGTTAGGGATCTTGAGAGCTAGAGTTTTTGTGGAAAGGAGTTTAGTTACTCTTCCTTGTAGTGGAGTTTTATCGGTCATAAAAATATTTTTTTATAAGTAATAAACTAGTTTTTTGTTAAGTTTTTTATAAATGATATCATTAATGAAGTTGTGAAAAAAACTTCACATAGAAATTCAGTATTTCATGGGATACAATCCTTAACCAAAATTTATGAGTTTGATGTTTAGGTCTATTTTGAGCTTGATTAATTCTAAAAAAGAGAGGACTCTTTGTTGTTTAAGTTGATGTGTGTATTAAAATCATAATGTGTGAGAAAATTAAGAGAAAATATATTGGGTATGAAAAAAATATGAATTATTAGAACAGATTTTATTTATTTAACGACCCAATATATTCCTTCATGCAACTCGAAAAAGTACATTGAGAAGAGCTGAGAATTGTTTTCAGTGTTGATGATGACCATGTCGCGTGATGTTGAAATGCTGAAATTTTCAGGTTATGCTGTAATGTTGAAATTTGTCGCCATGAAGATATGTCTAATGTATGTAACAGTGCCTCCTCAACATCGAGAAACAGAAAGTGATTTAGGTTTTTGTGTTTTTAGGTTAATATATCATGAATTCTCCATTATAAAGCAAACACGGTTTAAATAAGCTACCACAAATTATCCTAATAATAAAATAAGTAAAATGTAATAATACATATATATAAACCTAGTGGTTTCATACTTCATAAAAAATGTTAAAAATCTGGGTTAATTGTGATCTGATTGTTCTGATTAAATTTAATGATTTTTTAAAAAAAATTAAATAATATTATTTTGATTTATTTTTTAAAAACTTAAGTTAGCATACTCAATTCATCATCTAAGCTTTATGCCGAGTTGTATGGAGCAAAAATTAGCATAGATTAGATGGCATATAGAACTTGTAAACATTGAACGTAAATTTCATGAGAAAAGATTATCTTAAAAAAAAAAAAGAATTAGTAAATTTCTCATTAAACACAGCTCATTACATATAAAAAATCAGGAATTTGTCAGCAAAAAGTCAAACCCAACATCTTGCTATTTGGATCATTAAATTCATAAAAAAAAAAAAGAGAGAGAGAGATCAAATCAAAATTGGAATGAGACACCTAGCTTGCTGGTACCTTCGGCAGGCATTGCCAGCGTATTCATGTATAGTTCCGCACGTTGGGCCAACTCAATGACCGTACAGACCATACCTTAAACTACCCGAAATTCAAACATTAATGGACATTTACGTGATTTCCTAAGAAAACAGAACATCACCCGCCCTTTTCTATGCTCAAAACGAAAGTAAATACATGGTTATAATACTCAACCCAATGAACAAAAAGTTGAAATGACAATAATTTTGATAAAAAATAATAATAATTTGATTCCTTGACCCACAAGTTAACAGGTAACTCGAATGTCATACCTATGATTAAATCATCCAACCTTAAAATATCAAATCCTAAATTATGATTAATTAGCCATCTAATCATCGACTGTTTGTCCAAATTACTAAACAAGCCCTCCAGTTTGGTTGCGAACATCTTGGAGGTTAACAGAAAAAACAGACAGAGAAAGAGAGAGAGAGAGAGAGAGAGAAACAGGAGGTCTTCCTCTTCTTTCTTTCTATCTTTCCTTGTTTCTCTTTTTTTTGGGGGGCTTTTTCTTGTCATCTTTCACTTTGAAATCTTTTTGAAAAACGAAAATCAAAGAAGCTAAAATTTGAGATAAATGGGAACGTTTACAAGTCTTCGAAAAGCTTATGGGGCTCTTAAGGATACAACAAAAGTTGGCCTTGCAAAGGTCAATAGTGAATACAAGGTGAGATTTTTGTTTTGTTTTTGGATTCTTTTTCCCTTTTTGTTTAATGGGTTCTTTTCTTTTTATGTTTAAATTTTTGTTATGGATTTATTTTTATTTTTATTTGATTTTTGAATGGAAGGAATTGGATATAGCCATTGTAAAGGCTACCAATCATGTTGAATGCCCTCCTAAGGAACGCCATGTTAGAAGTAAGTTTAAGTTTTGAAGTGGGGTGTTGAAGATTTTGATCTGTGATTGTGATTGTGTTTTTTGAATGTGTAATTGAATTGTGGAGATGGGTTTATCTTGTGATTTATGGTTTTGGATTTTTATTAGGGAATATTCGATTATGTTTGTTTTTGTAGAAATATTTTCGGCAACATCAGCAATGAGACCTCGAGCAGATGTTGTAGCAAATTGAAGATTGGATGGAAAAATCTTGCCAAGGTGGAGATTTGTAGCAAATTGTCAACATTTTTTCTCAACCACCATCAACCACCCTCTCCTTTAACAACCACCATCAACCACTTCCAACCACCATTCAACCACCATCAACCACCCTCAACCACCCTCAACCAAGTTGCCAAGGCTCTCCTATAAATAGAGATAAAGAGAGAGCAATGTAATAAGTGTAGTGAAAGTGTGGTGAGTGCAACTGTGAGAGTGAAAAAATACAGATTTGAGAGAAACACCGAGTGTAAGAGTGAAACACCCGGTTAAGTGGGATTGTACTGGGTTGAGTTGAGTGTTTGTATCATTCCTCCAATAATATACAATCTGCTGCCTCCGTGGACGTACCCGATTTTGGGGAACCACGTAAATCTGTTGTTTGTGTTTTATTTGTGTTTGCTTTTGGTCCAGTATGCGCAACATTATGTTTGTTTTTGTAGAAATATTTTCGGCAACATCAGCAATGAGACCTCGAGCAGATGTGGCATACTGCATTCATGCACTTGCTAGGAGATTAGCCAAGACGCGAAATTGGATTGTAATGTTGCTCTTCCGTTTAATCCTGATTAATTATTGTTGTTTTGTTTAACATGTAGTCATTGTTTCTTAGATTATAAAGGAACATTTGAACTTGTATAAATGAGTTATGATCTAGCATAGTCGTGTCATAATTGCAATGCGAGTTTTCATCAATGCAAATATTTCCTAGATAAAATAGATGGAACTTGATTTTGGAAATTCGGATGTCTTTACACAGGTTGCGATAAAGACATTGATAGTCATTCATAGGACATTGAGAGAAGGCGATCCTACATTCCGAGAGGAGCTCTTGAACTACTTATACAGAGGAAATATTCTCCAAATATCCAATTTTAAAGATGACTCTAGTCCGCTGGGTATGTAGCCTATGTTCAATATTGTTTTTGTCAGTTGATGTGAAGTAGCTTTGAATTTTGAATATCAATAGCTTTTTAGATTGCTGTATCTGAAATGCAGCCTGGGATTGCTCCGCGTGGGTTCGTACTTATGCTCTTTTTCTAGAGGAAAGATTGGAATGTTTTAAGACTTTGAACTTCGACATTGAGGCTGAGCGTCTGACAAAAACATCACCAGGGGCAACCAAGGTTTCTTCTGTATTGTGCATTAATTTGGAATCATATTCTAACCTGGCATCAGAATATGCTATTATCATGGTCCAGCATTAAGTGTCTACTTGTTATAACAGGTGCATAGTAAAACACGGCTTTTGAATCGAGAGGATCTGTTGGAGCAGCTACCTGCACTGCAGCAGCTTCTTTATCGTCTAATTGGTTGCCAGGTAAGGGTGTATTTTAGTAACAAATTTGTATAATTATGATCTTGGAATAAAGAGATTTCTTTTTGTGGCTTTGATATCTCCTAACCATCGAATTATCTTCCATTTTATAGCCCTTTCACAGTCCTTTCCTTCTCACTTCCTCTAATTTTTGCAGCCTGAAGGTGGAGCTTATACCAATTATCTCGTACAGTATGCCTTGGCCCTGGTATGCATGATACAAACGTGTATTTCTTGCAACAGTGTTTTCAGAAGTGTTTTTTTGCGCAAGTAATTGTGTGAAATTGTGCATGACTGGGGAATCTGTCAGTGAAAACCAGTTCATATATAACTGAAATTTAAATTATTTCATCTACCAGTTGAGCTGTGAATTTCATGACTGTATGGATCGGTGACAGTGCACTTTCTTCATCCTTATTATAGGGATAAGATTGTGTAGGGAGCTGCAGTCCCTTATGTTTAAATCACTCTCTTGAAGCATTACGGTGCTGTCTTTTTAGTTCTTGTAACCTGCTAGGGGTAGTGCAAAAGGTGACTTCAAGTGTTTGTTTTTCCCTTTTCTTGTTAACCTGAGACCGAAAAGAAAATCTGGAAGCCCGGTCGCAGTGCATGGTTCTTGGAATGCATATGCAAACAATTGGTGCCTTTGTTATTTCATGAGGGTTTCTTCATATTTATCCAATTTCTTCCATAGGGCTGTTGATAACCATATAAAACATCTAATGTTCTATGCAGTGGTCATTATACAAACACTTTTTTTTTTTTTTTGCTTTTTTGTTTTTCAATTCTAAATCCAAAAAAAAAAAATGCAGGTGTTGAAGGAGAGCTTTAAAATCTATTGTGCAATCAATGATGGAATTATCAATCTTGTGGATATGGTAAAACTTTTATTCAAGTTTTTAATTTCATCTTGGATTAATTAATTGTATTTGTCCTCCTAGTTTTTTTAACTCCAATAACATAAATTCCAAATGTTTATGCAGTTTTTTGAAATGTCGAAACACAATGCAGTCAAAGCTCTTAATACGTACAAAAGAGCTGGCCAACAGGTTTTACAACCATGTTTCTCTTCATAGATTTTGTTATTGTATGCTGACACTGGTTGCAGTCGACTGCTTTTAGTGCCAAATGGGGATGCCTTATTATGTGTTTTAGTTGTGCTTATTTGTCTAGTTTCTAATTCAATTTTGGTTGTTCAGGCTGAATGTCTTGCTGAATTTTATGACTATTGCAAAGGTTTGGAGCTTGCAAGGAACTTTCAGTTTCCAACACTGAGACAGGTTCTCTTTTCTACCAAACTGAAAATATCTAGTGAATGACCACAGCTGGTTCTTACCGACTTTTCTGTATTGAGCAGCCCCCTCCAACTTTTCTCGCAACAATGGAAGAATATGTTAAGGAAGCACCTCAGTCGGGTTCTGTCCCCAGGAAACTGGTGAGAAATTTTGTCCGTAGCAGTTTGCTTTTAAATGAGGTGGTTGAAGATTTTTTTTTCCTCTGATAATTGTATCCTCAATTGGCCCAGTCTTTATTCAAATGTGTTGAAATGACCTTTGAAGTATGGGAAAATGGAATGTGACACCTCTATACTTTGGGTTTGTGATAAACATACTGTTTCACTAATAGGAGTATACACAGAGAGAGCCGGACAAACCTGAGGAGCCTTCAGAACCTGCAGAGCAAGTTGAAAAGGCCGATGTTGAAGAAACATTGATAGATATGGAGGAAGAAGCCAAGCCTGAGGAAGAGGAGGTAGAACCTCCATTAGTATCCACTGATGCTACTGGAGATTTGCTGGTAAGATAAAAAAATTTCCGCATTTCCTTTGAAGTTGATATCTTGAGTTCCCATTCACGTTGTTTTCATATTTTGTCGCAGGGTCTGAATGAAATAAATCCAAAAGCTGCAGAACTAGAGGAAAGCAATGCATTGGCTCTTGCAATTGTTCCACCTGGTAGTGCACATAGCGATTGATTTATTCTTATCAAGAAACTTTAAGTTCATGTCTGAGCGGTAGGGTAGGAAGTTCATTTGGAGTAGCGTTTCCATCTTCTATTGATTAAATGGTCCACCAATTAATGATATAGAAAATCAATTCACCTTGTTTAAATGGTTATATTGCTATTTCTCTTCTGAAGTGCTGATGAGACAGAAAAAAAGTTTTAAGAGTATGGGCAGTGATTAGTACCACTCAAGAACCCGAGTTATTATCTTTCACCTCACATCTAGTGACACAATCTTTGTGGTCTAACGGTTGGAATTGATTATTTTGTTCTTTGAAACAAAAAGAATTATGATCATAAAAGTTCTTTTCCAATCTCTGCACGATGCTCTTGACCATCCTATTTATTATACATTGCACGTCTCGTATGATATAAAGTACTTAATGTTAACATTGATGCAGGTGCCGATCCTCTGTCTTCATCAAAAGCTTTGAGTGAACTTGGTAAGCCAAATGCAACAGGTTGGGAATTAGCACTTGTTACCACTCCAAGCAACCCTACTAGCCAACCAGCACAAAACAAAATGGTCAGTTTTATGATCTTCCTTTTCCGTGATAAATATAACAAATATATTCAAATGACTACTGGCTGCATTTGAGATTTAAGTGAAGAACTGAGCAAACAACCTTCACCTGGTAATATCTTATTCTTTTCTAGAGCCTAGAACAGTTTGCTTGTTATCATTGAAGTTGGTTCATATAAGCGTGCACTGATATGTCTTTCTTGGAAATCCCAACCTGAAGTCATTAGTTTCACCTTTTCTGTAATGTAGTGGAGTTACTAGAAATGTAGATGGAGGTTGTTCTAGGATCAGGTAGTTAAGCGCTCGAGTTGGCATTTTGATTGATTGAATTGATTTGAAACACTGAGCCTGGCTGATTTCTTGCTTTCGTATGCTTGATCCTAGAGCAAGCTCAATCTAAGTTTCTGTTAACTCAAATAGGATTCACTCGCTGCAGTTTTGTAACTTGAGCGTTGCATATTGCCTCATTGAAGGTCATTGAATCCTGTTTTCAACTGAATCAAGTCGGATTCACTTGACTACAGTATAGTAGCTTTAAAGTAGCATATTGCCTCAATGAATGTCGGTGAATCCCATTTGCAGCTGAATCATTCTTCCAGTGCGGTCCATGAAAATGTGGTACCTGTTTTCATTTACTCATGATCGTGTTCTGGTTTTTTGGGTCAGGGTGGTGGTTTTGACCGGCTATTACTTGATAGTTTGTACGAAGACGATGCTGCAAGGAGGCAAATACAATTGCAAAATGCAGGGTATGGATATGGTGCCACAGCTATGAACAATCCATTTGAACAACCGGACCCATTTGCAATGTCCAACAGCATAGCACCCCCAACAAATGTGCAGATGGAGATGATGGCTCAGCAACAGCAGCAGTACCATCAGCAACAAATGATGATGCAACAGCACTACCAACAAAATCAATCAATGACAATGATACCTTATCAATATCAACCACAATATCCTCAACAGCAAATGCCTCAGATGGGACAGATGGGTCCTGCCAACCCATTTGCGGATGAATTTTCAAGTTTCCCACAAGGTTCTGCACCGCATCAAGGAAACCACATGTTAATTTAGAGGCCCTTCCTTCCCAATTTGAGTTCATTCTTTGATTCTTTGGAGTAGCAGAGAATTCTTTTTTGTTTCCTACGAAGTTTGACTAGTCTATCCCTTCTCTGGTTTTTCTGTTTTTTTTTTTTCTGGTGAAAGCTGATTATTTGTTCGCCCAGTAAATAACTTCATTTATTTTTGTACTGAGGAACAATAGATCCTTCATTTTGGATCACTGGATGTAATTTATCTGACACATGTTTGGACATTGTTTTCAATCATAAATGTAACTGACCGCGACAGAAGATGTTCATGAGAGAATCGAATCAAAAATGTAATTCATCTTATTTAAACTGTAATTATTTGATTATTAATAAAAAGAAGTTTCGAGAATATTTTTATATTACTCTCTAATGCTAACTTTACTTAACTGGATTATGTGCTCGAGTAGGAGAAGGAACAACGTTAAAGAACTAGGTTCTCGCAATCAAGAACCTCAATTGTGGTTGGTTCAAGAGCTTTACAAGCATATTGATACAGGCATACATTGTTGCTTTACAAGCATATTGATACGGGCATACATTGTTTAGAACCTAATGCACAAACATTAGAGTTTTGGGGACCATGCCTGTCTACGACTGGTGAATGGTGGAGTTGCAACACTGAGCTGGAAATCCTGACAGCGCAGGTGCTGGTGGTGTTATTCGCTCATCACGGTGATTCAGGTTCAGGGGTCTCTCTTGCTGTATCTCTAAAACTCATGAAGCTTGTACTCTCCAGTACACGCTAAACTAGTTTTTTTAAAATAAATGTTAATAAAATTAACACACTAGAAGAAAAACTATATAAACAGTGTAATTCACTCATGAACAATACAAATAAATTTTACTATTTATTATTTTTTAAGTAAATAGTGCAATTTTTTGCGTTGTTAATGTTAATTATATTGTTTATTTAACAGTACAATTAGCATACACAATACATAAAAAATAATTTATTTTTATTTTTTATTAATAATATTTTGAATACAAAAAAAATTATATGAGATTCATACATAATAAATTATTTTTTTTATTATTAAATGATTATAAATTATATTTTAATTAAACACGATCGCAGCTGTATAAACAAATAGATTCTTCAACCGAATCGACCCTAACTCAGCTTTTTTACCTATGATGGAAAAACCCATTCCAAAACCGATCCATAATAGGTCTAACCGACGCGGGTATCAAGTGCAGTCCTCACTGGCTATAAATATCTACGAAACTATTCTCGCCAAAAAAATCAGGCAGTAATGGCAGCTAGAATCCTCTCTAAATCCGTATTCCACCACTGCACTCCCCACCATACTCCCCTCAAATCACCAGTTTTTATAATTTTTTGAGTATATAATAAAATTAAATAAAATATTATCAAATATAAAATTAATATTACAATGTAAATAAATTTAATTCATTTTAAATTAGTTTTTTTAAAATAAATATTAATAAAATTAAGATACTGGAAGAAAAATTATGTCAACAGTGTAATCTACTCCTGAACAATGCAATTAAATTTCACTATTTATTATTTTTTAAGTAAGTAGTACAATTCTTTGCACTGTTAATGTTATGTGTAAACAAATAGATTCTTCAACCGAATCGACCCTAACTCAGCTCTTTTAACTATGATGGATAAAACCCATTCCAAAACGATCCATAATAGGTCTAACCGACGCGGGTATCAAGTGCAGTCCTCACTGGCTATAAATATCAACGAAACTATTCTCGCCAAAAATATCAGGCAGTAATGGCAGCTAAAATCCTCTCTAAATCCCTATTCCACCACTGTACTCCCCACCATACTCCCCTCAAATCACCACCGTTAATCCCAATCTACCTCCGCCACCGCCACCGCCACCGTTCATCAAAACCCCAACTGATCGAAATCAATCTCTCCTCACCATCACTTCAATCAGACGGTGGTATTGGGAGTGAAGATGAAGAAGGGTTTTTTATTAAGAAACTTGAGGAGATTCTTCACCGTGTAATGCTTCAAAAATCAACACCTGATTGGTTGCCTTTTAGACCAGGGTCCTCTTTCTGGGTTCCACCCGTATTGAGTGTTAACGATTTGATTCATAAGTTTGCTGGTTATAATCTTAGTGATGAAGAAACGCTTTCGCTTACAACTTGTCGTGGATGGCCTTCCGCTTCTTATTTTATTAAAGGTATGGTTTTTATTGAGGTGTTGTGAAATGGGGTTTTGTTTAATCTTGGGAATATTGAAAATTTTATTTTTTATTTAATTTACTTTGTTTTTTTTTTGTATGCTAGTTTGGAGTTTTGGAGAAATGAGGTTTTGTTTATTTTTTTGGTTAAAATGAATTCTTTGTTATGTGTGCTTTTAAGATTCTGTTATGGCTATGTTTTTTTTTTGTATGCTAGTTTGGAGCTTTGGAGAAATGAGGTTTTGTTTAAAAATGAATTCTTTGTTGTGTGTGCTTTTAAGATTCTGTTATGGCTAATTTTGGAGCTACTAAGAAATGGGTGCATGTTGTTTCTGTTGAGTTTTGGGGAGTGATGTTTGTATGCAAGATTTGTTTTTTTATGAATTAACTGGGGTTTAATTTATGAATGCTGCTGTTTGATAATGTAATTTATGACAAGCCATTGCTTCTTTTGCCATGTTGACTTGATTCTTTTTTGCCGGTTTGTGTTCTTGATCCTTGTAGCTGTTAAAAAGTAAGACTGGCCTAAATTAATGGTACTCCCTCAATGTAGTTGTGAAAGATAGGTAAAGGATTAAATTGAAAAGTTTATTAATTCTGGATCATTGTTTAGTTATGAATTAGGACGTCAAAATGGAGGAATTCTACGTTGCTGTTAATATCATGGAGTTTCGTTACTGTTTATGATGAAGAGTTGATGCATTTGAAATAGGAAGCTGGAATCGCTTGAATTGTTGTGGGTAGTAACATTTCCCCAATCGGTTATCACCATAAATTTCTTGGAAAATGTTTTTATTATTGTTACTTCCATGTGACTATGTTTTGGTTGAGTCTTTTGTCGGAAAACATTGGATAACCTATGGTAATAAAAGAATGAGTCTTTATTATTGCAATTTAATAGTTTTATATTGATTCATATTTTCTTGGCTGCTGATACAGCTGGAATCAATGTGAAGGTGAATGAGGAGGAGGAGGAGGAGCGGGTGGATTTGAAGGTGGTGCCTCCTGAGGAGATGGAAGGGAAAGTGGTAGTGGAGGTTTTAACAGGCCCAACTGATATCGATGTGGCAGTGAAGGAGGAGAAGGGACATGTAAATATTAAGGCGGACCAAAAGGAGGGGGGTGAGGTGGGAAGGGAAGTGGTAGTGCAGGGGAATGAGGTAGAAGGGAAATTGGACGTGCTGATTTTGGCAGGTTCATCTTTGGAGGATGAGGAAGGATAAGATTCATATCACATGACAGGCTGGTTTCTCAGGTTAACATTGTGTATTTGCCCTCATACTTCCTAGTTCTGAATGACGCATCCCGTATTTGACATTGAAATTAGCATTAGATTTAGTGGAATGGGCACAATTTATCATTTCTTGAGATTATATTGCCGACTCCTGCTGTTGGCTTGGCCTAGCTATTTTGGTCTCCAACACATCAACAGTCATTTGTAGCAGTGATTTTATGATAGTGAGAGCGGCCCTTCTGGTTTAGGCTGTGATGATGTAACATTTTGCATCATAATACATTTCAATGTTCATAACAGAATAATTTGAGAAAATTTTTACTGATACGAGGGCTCTTTAGTCTCAAGCTAATGGACTGCGGAGTACATGGCATTGTTAATTCAGGTAAAATTTGCATCTGAATTGTGCATATTTTGATGTCTCTCTATTTTGAATTTCCAGGTTCAATTTCCTCAAAAAAAAAATCTCCGTGTCGTGGAAAGAAGATTAAGTAGAAATGACACCGATGTTGTACAGAAGCAGAAGCAATCCTGGTTGTTTATTGTCCGGAGAATTCTTGTAGTTAACTTCAATGGTTCTTAACTCACCTGTTCTACTACCTTGTAGTCTGACCCTAATGTTATGCTGGTTGTCCATTGTTTGAGGACTGGAACAGTTCAGATAGATATCAGTAAATGTGGTGAACAGAATATCAAGCTGCATGATCATTTTGTGAACAGTTTCTTGTAGCTTTCAAGTAAATGCACACAAAATTAAATACACAAACAAGAAATCTTGAACGATCTTTAGATTTATTATGCTTTCTGAAAAAGGGGCATGTCTGAATCCACAGAACTCTGGTTGGACTGGGAAGCATGAGTGAACATAGCTTGTGTGTGTGTGTGTGTTTAAGGTGTTTTCTCCTCTGCTTTGGAAATTTAGTGATGTTTTTTGTGGAGTATTCAATTTATTGTAGTAAAACTAAAATCGAATTTAATTTAATTTTATCCAATATTTTTTTTTCAATTTTGGTTTTAAATTTTTTATTATATTTTTAAGTGAAACCTAAACTGAAGTTTTAGAAGCTTTCAGCATCAATCCAGACAGACAATGTGGTATGATTTTGTGTTTTAAAAATATTTTAACAAATTTAATTTTTTTATTTTTTATTTTAAATTAATATTTTTTTTAGTATTTTCAGATTATTTTAATATGATAATATTAAAAATAATTTTTAAAAAATAAAAAAATATTATTTTGATATATTTTTAATTAAAAAATATTTTAAAAAAACAATTAAAATCATATTTTTAAATATATTTTATATCTTAATTAAATTAAATAATAATAATTAAGTTTTATTTTAAGAGTAGACTAAACACATCATAAAAATAAATAAAATAAAATAAAACAAAACAAAATAAAAGTTGTTTTCCTCATTTTAAGAAAGTACTTCAACTTTGTTATAATTAATATCTATAAGCTTCTCACTTTTTTATTTTGATCACTCTTAAGAAATGGAAATAGTTAAAACAGAAAAGAAATGTTGTTATTTATTTTTTAAAAGAAAAATTATCTTTAAAAATACTTTTATATTTTTTCATAATCAAATATGTTTTTATCATTCCTGTGTTTGTTATTGAAAATGAGGCTTCATCTAACTAATGAATCCAAATAAATAAAAACTAAAATATGAAAAATTCAATTGAGTTTAATATAAAAAAAAAATAAGAACCTGTTTACCTATAAAAAAAAGTGTAGTTAAAACCTAAAAGTAACAAATATTTTATACCCATTGTTTAAATCTTACACATCATCATGTAAACGTGGCAGAGAATGATTCGTCAACTATGAAAAAAGCCCCTATATATATATTTATTTATTTTATCAAACTAAAAAGAAAGAAACACTGATATCAAAATCTTAACAATGGCAGAACAACCAGAGACGGTGTCGTCGAGCGTGAATCAATCTTCTAACACACAAAATTCTCCCGAATATAAACTTAAGCAATCATGGGTATTTCTCAATTTCCAATTCCATTCTCTAAATTTGTTTAATTTTCGTTTTCAAGTCTTATTTTTCAATAATGGGTAGTCCTTAACACAAAAGGAGATTGATGGGTTCTTATGTTTTTGGCTTTTGACCAGTTTTTATAAATTGGATTATTTCTTTGCTGAAAAAAATGAAATGAATTGAAGTTTATTTATTTATGTTTTGGCTGTTTTTAGTCTTTAGATTTTTTCTTCCTGTGCTCCTGATTTGTGCATTTGGAATGAATTCGGTGTAGTCATGTTGGGATTGATCATTCTCTGGTGGTTTTGTTACCTCAGGTGCCGTCGGCATTCTCTGGTTTTCCAGCTTATCCAGATAGTGGTTTTCAGATGTTTCCTGTCATGTATCCTGCACTAGTTCCAGGGTTAAATGCTATGCAAAATCGAGAAGAAGCGAATCATGGGCCTGGCATTTATGCAGTGCCTGTTCCTCAATTTATGGGACCAATTGCTGGACTTCCTTCAAACACCCTAATTCCCCTCACGCTCAACATACCTACGTAAGTATGTCTGTGTTGTGTAAACTGTTAATATCTGAGGTTCGTAGCATTGTTCACAGCAGAGTACTTGCACACATACTTAGATACTGTAACAATTCTACCTATCACCCCTGCTACCGAGTAATGATGCTTGATGGTGGTTAACAAGGTGATATACCTTTGTTGTTAAATGGATTACATGAACTGCTAATTAAAGATTGCTGTTTCTTCATATTCTTTGCTCAACAGTAGACCGACTGCTGAGGCTGGGGCAACCAGTGATCAAGCACAAGGGGGACAACAGCAACAGCAACTGCAGCAGCCTGCAGCTCAAAGGCAAATTGTTGTTAGGAGATTTCAAATTGCATTTCAGTTGGATTTGTTTCTCATACTTAAGCTGGCAGCCGTAATCTTTTTGTTTAACCAAGATGGATCAAGACAAAGGCTTCTTGTCCTTGTGTTTTTTGCTTCACTTGTCTATTTGTAAGTACTAAACTTTCAAATGATTTGTTGTTTGAGATAAATTGTTCACATAGCATTTTTTTTTTCTTATTACTGTATACTCATTTTAATTTCAGAGAGAAGAAAAGTTCAAGCTAACTAGTCAATCTCATACACACCCTGTCCCTTGTTTTAAATGTTCTATTTCCAATCACAAACACCACATTAAATAATTTGTTGTGTCCCTCCAAGTTGTAGCCTTTTATTGTTCATGTGAAGCTATTTTCGGCAAGTCATGCACCTGGAAGCTGAACCTTTTCAATGAGTGTTGTAGGTACCAAACTGGAGCTCTGACACCGTTAGTACAATGGCTCTCACAAAGTATGCAAAGGGCAGCTGCCCCTCCCCGTCCACCTAGGCCTGCTGTCAGGGCGGAAAATGCGGCAACAAGGCAGAATGAAGATGTTGCTTTGGCAGGTATTGTTCTTCCAAAGGCATACTAAGGATTTTGGATGTTTTTTGGGTTTCAATTTAATTACTTTTTAGGGAATGAGGATTCACGTTGATATTTCATTTCCACAAGTAATGGATACATGAAACTTGGACCCATATCAGCTAAAATTGAATAACTGAACTTTGTCTTTGCGTTGTATCAACTGTAATTATGAAGTTTGATTGATTTTATCATTCAAGTTATGTTTACCTTTTCTTGACCTGGTGGTGAAGAATCTTGCTTATCTATGAGATATACAGTAAGTAGAGTGCTTTGAGTGCTCTTGGCCAAACATGGGATACAATTGTGTGCCTTTGTGCCTATAAAAACAACATTTTTTTTTCTTGTGGAATGATTGTTCTGCTGGACTGGTTTTGAGTGGAGGTTTCTTAAGAGTGATTTCATATCAGGAGAGAACATCAGATTGTTTTACATACAAATTGCTAATTGTTTGTGTGAAATATGTGTTTTTGAACTGCCTTGTAAGCATTTTTCTCATCTGTAGAAATTTAATATTCATGGGGGGGCGTTAAAGCAAGTTACAGAAGCAATACTTTCATAAGCTCAGATTATTGTTGCTATATCATTCTGATATTCCAATTTGATCATACTTCCAATCCTGTCTTATTGATTATTGCACCAATGTTGTGTAGTCTATTTGTTTGTGTTGTTAGGAAGACAGGAACAGGTAATATTCACGCTATGGTCTATATAAACAATGTGAATATGTAACACAGAACCCCTTGGTACCTATCGTAGTGAATGGCAGCATTACATCCTTCTCACTGTCTTTCATTTTGTTGTTACCTGAATCCCTGTGGCGTCAAAACATGATTTGGATAGAGAAAGCTGATTGAAGTTGAGAGGAAATTATATTTCTGATTGTTGTTTTTGTAACTCTTTGACAATCATTCGACAACTTTTTGCAGAGGGACAACATGCAGTTGAGAATGAGAATAGACCTGCAGAGGATGGTAACCAAGCAGCTGAGAATGAAAATGTTGCTGAACCTGGCGGAGACAATGGGGGCCACCACTGGTGGGGAATTGTGAAGGAGATTCAGATGATTGTCTTCGGCTTTATCACCTCACTTCTCCCAGGCTTTCACCACATAGATTAGACCATACTTTAGCTGGTAACAAAACCTCCCAAACCAGCATAGAGGCGGGGAATAGTTGTTTCTGTCGTTTTCTCCTGTTCTTTCCCTTTATGAAATAATCTGAAGAGTTCTCCCCCCCTTCTCTTTATTGACAACTTTGATACATATTGTATGTATATGTACAATTATGGCTCCACTAGAATAGTTCGATGATTATGGATTTAGGATTTCACACCTAATGTAAATTCCTGCTACGCCAAGTTACCATGCTAAATTTGATTCCTGGGTTGTGATAAGTAGAATAGAAAATTTCGGGTTGCTGTTACTTTTTAGTTGCTGCGCATCTTTTCCAACCCAGTCAGTTCCACTTTTACCTTATTATGGCAAGGTGCAGATGCATTTGCCCGTTATTTTAGCTCTCTCGGCCTGACTAGGTGATATGAACCAACCCCTCGTGAGCAAATGGATCTGGTTCTCCGCTTCCCGAGTTGTCACTTGTCAAACTAAAAATGAGTCATCTGTTCAAAACCGAGCATTTTTTATGTGCTTTAAAATTATTTTAAAAAAAAATTAAAATTTTCCGAAATCAACCGAGTATTTTTTATGTGCTTTAAAAATATTTTAAACAAAAATTAAAAATTTTTATTTTTTTATTTACTTCAAATTAATATATTTTTAATATTTTTAAATTATTTTAATACGTTGATATCAAAAATAATTTTAACAAAATAAAAAATTATTATTAACATATATTTTATATATTTTAACCTGTAAAATTATTTGCAAAACTTTCTATGTTTTAAAAAAAATTTAATTTTTTTTATTTTTTATTTTAAATTAATATATTTTTAGTATTTTTAAATTATTTTAATATATTAATATTAAAAATAATTTTAAAAACAATCAAAATTATACGATACGTTGAGAATCTTGCATGAATCCTAGTTTAACTCTCTTTCCCCAAATTGGAGGGGATTGTTTTTACTAAATACAGTGATTTGAGACGTTACTGTAACACTGTCAATAAATTCAGGGAACATCGCTAGCTTTCGCTGTAATCCAAGACAAATTCACTCGTATTAACCCAAAATTTTATGCGAGCCAAGCATGGCAGTTTTTCTCATAGAACATGTACCAAAGGTGAGAGCCAATTTAAACCAGGTTCGTTATAACTGCAAGTTCCAGTTCTAGTGAGTTGGCTTGGCTGCCAGTGCATAAATCCATATATGAAGTCCACTTTGTGGCATTTAAAATTCTTCTTTGAATTATGCCCTTACCTCACACACACACACACACACTCTTGGCTTGGTCATGTTCTTTGAATTATGCCCTACCTCACACACACACACACTCTTGGCTTGGTCAAGCATAAAGTGTATGGGATGTGAAAACTCAAAATTAAAATAATAATAAATAAATAAATTCAGACCATTCTTCAAAGATCCGGTCAGTTCACCTTGGCTTTAGGATAAAGTAATGATGTCTCTCAAGTAGCAGAAATAATGGTTTCCAGCAAAGTTAAATCAGTCTTCCTCCTATTTGCAATTTTACAATTGAGCATTCCTGAACCTGACTGTCAGGTTACTGTAAAGGATTCTGAGAAGCAAGGGTTTGATAATAAGCAGTCATGACAGGACTCATATCGAAATGTCTGTAGAAAAATGCAAACTCGCTGAAGCTCAATTTTTTATTTTAGGGAGGGGAGGGGTAACAGCAAGGAGCCAAAACTCACTTTTATTAGCACTAAAAGAATATTAATTACAAAATGTATATACAGGTATATATAATTAAAGCTCAACTCACATCTCAGATAAGAGATTGCTGATTTTCCGAAGCTCTTTAAGAGCTGTCATGGCTGTGACTTGTCCTTTGCCAACAAGAGCAGTTTTGGAGAAATTCTCCAATGAACCCACCTGACCCCTATCTTGCTGGAAAACAGACTCGATTATCTGCAGCACAAATGATTAAGAAAAGTTCAGCTTGAATGCCTAACAAAAAACATATACCATATCACTACAGTTTTTCTTCGCTGATAAGTTAAAGGCCAAACTACTTCCTAGAACTCCCCAGAAACTTGAAAGCTACATAAATTACATGTGAAGCAGAAAGAAAATCATACCAGGTAGTGAACCTATGGCCCGTCTCCCTGGCAGACTAAATATGTATTGAAGTAAATCAATCCATATATCAAGCCAATTTTCCACAACATATCATACTTTTGTTTCATATTTTAACAACTTTCAGACTCTGTCTTGGAAGAATTATCTTAGAAAGAATTACCTGAATATGTTCAAGCATGGACTGTCCAAAGTTCCTCAAAGAACCCATCACATTCTGATCCACGCTCTCTCCTTTGCTACTGGCATAAGAGTTGCAAGATCCATTGACAGATGAAGATCCTATTGAATTAATCTGATTACTGGCATCGTTGCCAGGTTTTGTAGCCTCAAATGTGCCGCTTCCCTTTTCAGAAGTCTCCTCACCAGCAGTATTCCGTCCAAACTTCCAAAACCATTGAAATTTACCTGAAAGTTTCCTCTCCTTAGGACCTGCAACCTGTTTTCCAGCAGGCTCATTGTTGGTCCCAGAATTTAGAGACACACCTTCAGGGGGATGGTCAGGGGGGTGGGAAACAGGAAGGGTTGGATCTTCCTGGAGAGCCTCAGGTTGATCATCATTTTCATCGAGAGACATATTTGAGGCAACGCTACTTTTCTCAGAGTCATTTTCATGCTCATTAACACCACTAAGAGAACTAGATGGGTCCGAAAACACGGATGAATTTTCCTCACTCCCAGAATTTCCACCAAGACATCTCTCCTCAGTTGAGCAAGTCAAGTCATTGTTAACGCTGTCTGGTCCCCCTCCCTCAACTTCTGCAGTTTGATGGTCCTTCTTGCCTGAAACTTCATGGCAATCTGATTTTCCAATATCTTCATCCATCCCAAGTTCATGTGATAAATCTTCTAACAAACTACGCCTAATAGATGACTTCTGATCCTTCTTCCCCCTCCCTGCTTTTACTGGAGCTGGTGCAGATTCTGTCCTAGATAGGGGCAATCTTACTTTTTCTGTCCACCGTTTTTTCTGGCTTGGTTTTAATTTCCCTAAATGATCATGCTTGAGCTCTTCTGTCTTGTGCAAATCTCTCCATTTCTCCTCCCAATAACTATCAGGCACCGCATTTAGAGGAGTTTTGGGGGAAACAGAACCAGATGAAAGTGCATGAGTATGACCTCTCACCACCATTGATTTACTGTGGTTATAATTCCCATCAAACGGAGGAGACACAGAGGACATATTAGTATCCAATGCGAGGGACTGTAAAGACTTTGCCTTATTTATCAGTTTTCTCAGATCTATATTCTCAGGAAAATTCAAGAGTCTCTGGAGACAAGTAGTTGCGTGCTCAGTGGCAAGCAGGGAAGACCTCAAATGAAGAATCATAGAAACGGACATAGCTGGGATTAATGCTCCCCGAGGTGATCTAAAGATACGAAAACCAGAGTCTGCATCATCTTCAGCACCTTTTTCTAATATGACATTATTATCTGCTGCAAATATTTCATCCCATATTAACAAGAGGTTTTCAAGTGAAAATTCTCGTCCAAATAAAACCCGCAACCAGCGAAGTGCAAAATACTGAGGTTCAACACCCAGCTCAACAAGGTGGCTGTGTAAAGATGAATCAACAACAGACAGCAAATGGTACAAAGCAGCAGAAGCTTCAATGACAGGGGGCAAGCCAGAATGAGAACCATGTGCAGGGGAGTGAGAGTAGAAGTCCACAATGGCAACTGAACCATGAGACCCACTCATCAATGCATCAAACATACAGTAAGCATCATGCTCCATGAATTTCTCTGACATGACAATACCCAATTCACCTTCAGCCCCGTAAGCATCCGTTAGTAATACAGTTGTCTGTATCTCAGGATCAAGCTCATTGAGAGACTTGACTTTGACAGCATTACCATGGGAGCCAATTTCATCCTCCATGGAATCCAAAAACTTTTTAAAATCAAAGTTGTATGTAATATCATTTTCCTGAAAGGCTAAACCATCAAATTTGTCTGTGAAATGGTCTTCATACTGCTTGCGCACTTCAGACAGATGCTCCACATCAATGTGAAGAACATATAGAAAAGGAGCCAAGAGTTCATGCATTCCTGTCAAGGAAAGCCAAAACAACCAAAAGGGAAACATTAATTTCTCTGTAAACAGATACTGTAACACATTGAAGTGAATGAATATAGGAAAAAAGAAGAGATTAATGATTAAAATGATTGTCTGAGTCAAATTAACAATATATGATGAACAGCTTGAGATTACAGGGTCGCACTAATGACTGAATATTGGTACAGCACAAAGAGGAATGCCAAAAGGGTTGATGGGAACATGTCTTTCTTTCAATTTAATTTACCTTGTCGATAACCATACTCTGGATGTCTAAGGCACCACAATAACAAGATTCGTCTTAACATTCCTTGGCAGCCAGGTGTCTGGAAATAGCTACCATGTTCTGGATATAAACGTGACAAATCCTGGTCAAGTGTTTTTTCCAGTTCAGCATTCCGAAAGAAGCGACCCCAGGTGCTATCTGCAGGCAGCATTCGAATATCATCATTAATACCAAGTAATTACAACATTTTCACACGACATACCACATATCAGAGTCGCAATAAAATTCTTTGACTGACATGTCAGTGACAATGCAGATAAAATCAGCAATTGGCATAAATATACCCTAGTTCAAGCAACAAGCTAACTTCCATCCATAACCTTACATGGCCCCAACAAAATAGTTACCTGGGTTTTGTGACAGTGGATTGTCAATTACAGGATCAGGTGAACTCCTTCCATCCTTTGACAAATGTGGATCAACTAAGAGCCGCCTTCTTAAACCAGCATACCTGACAAAGACAACCATTTTGATTGGTGTTAACAACAAACCAGCATACAAAGTAGACTTAAACCTTGAAATCCAACTGGAGACCCCCTCCTAATTCGATTGACTTTTAACAACCAAAAAAACAACTGATCACAACCAAACCCCTGCTATTTGATTCCATGGATCAAACACTGAAAAAAAAAATATAATGATTTTCAAAGATAATCAACTAGCTATCATCAAAATGGAAACATAACAAAAAAAGGAACCATCTTTAAATTCTATGTCAACTAAAACATAATTAAAAATAAATAAAAACCTATAAAATTTGCTTTCACTAACCAAGAATTCAAAAATCTAAAAATCCCAAAAACGAAAAAAAATACAATTATCTCTTTTTCAGGAAAAAAAAAGAGGCCAAAACTTTACCTTCTTCTAGAT